TATGCACATTTTAAACTTTGACAGTTTTTACATTATCTCCTTCTAGAAACGTACTCATTTACACACTTGCACACTCACATGCACACATGGTTAGCGTATACATAAAATGAATCTTGACAACACATATCAACACCCACCTGCCTGTTACAAAAACTTCTGTGTGTAAAGTGGGATTGCAGGGGACTTTAAGTTTTATAAACAGAAAAAAGTTTTGCTCACTATTTGCAGATCTCTTCACTCCCTCATTCAACATGTATGCATTCTACAAGCATCTGTTACCATCCACTCAATGCAAAGTGTGGTGCTAGGGGCTTTGGGTAGGTACATGGTAATAGAGAATTCGGTCTTGTTTGGCCAGGGTAAACACTACAAAGCCATGCCTAGTACACAATCACAGTGCAATATAAAAACAAGTACAGGAATCCCCTACATGTACAGACATTATAAGTGACTGAGGTGAAAATTCTATGAACTCTTTCCTCTGGAGATTGTTCTCTGGTTGAAGTACAAAATGTTTCTATTTCATTTTACTGTTCTTTGTATTATACAGAATATGGCATCTAACATAATTTCAATCTTAGGGGGTAAAACCAAAAATCTCTGAAGAAAGTAAATTTCATAAAGCAAAATTTCTATGACTAGGAATAGATATTAAATGCATATTTATAAATACATAAATGTAAAATGCCTGGATGTCTTCTCTGTCTCTGTGGATAGTTAGCATATATTTTCTTAAAGGCCTCACATTTCTTGAATCTAGATCCAAATCATACGGCAAGTGGGCTGGAAACGCCAGGCATGCATGTCAGGGGCTAATGCACCAGGCTACCCTGGCACACTGTCAGGCCAACTGCTGGACTGCTGCTTGGCATAGCTACAAGCCTCCCCTGCTGGCAGCTCATGTTCCAGGCTCCTGGCTGGGCCTTGCCATTTGCCCTGTATCGTTTGGGGCAGGGAGGCAGGCAGGAAGACACAACTGGGGATAGCTGAGCAATGAGGGGCTGCTGTGACCACAGCTGGTGCTGACAGCCTGGCACACAACCCACCCTCCCCCTTCCTCCTCACTGAACACTGCAAACAAAGGTTGCAGGTAGTAACCTCCAATACATTATAGACAGATTCTAGTATAGTTTGTTTATTCTAAGTTGTTTTTGGTTTCCAATTTTAATTTTAATTATCCCTCTGTTATGGGGAAAACAAGAGATTTCCATCACCTGTTTTCCCCAAGGACAATAGTACACATTCTCATAGACACGCTTTTAAGACACATCAAAGTGCTTCTAAATGTAGGAAAAGAGAAACAAGTTCAGAATAAAAAGAGCTGTTTAACTATAAACAGCAGTTACCTATCTTATTATTTTAAAGAGCCATTTCTCAGCAAGGCAAAGGGGTTTGGAAGGTTGTGTTTATGGAAAAACACACACACACATATTCTCTATTCTCTTTTTTCCTTGCTGGGAATATTTATTCAAAGTAAACAGACAATTTTAAAATTCAGAAGATAAATAGAGAAAATCTAATGTGCACAAAATAAACAGATTCTTCTCTTTTGCTCCTTCAAGAGCTGAGTACTTCACCCTAATTTTTCTTCTTCTAACCTCATCTAGATTCCCAGCTGAAGGAGCCAGTAACCTAATTCTGCTCAGTTCTAATGCAACATGAGAACAAATTTAGAATATCTCTGCACTGGTCTTGCCGGGGATTGCAGAACCCAAAGTCGTTATTCTACTCCAGAGGCAATACTGTGATCAGCCCTAACACCACTCGCCAGCCCTACTGTCAGCTTCTTGGAGAAGCACCTCTACCTCCTGTCAAGTAGTGACCTAAAAAAGTTTAATCCGGTTAACATTTTCAAGGTCAGAGTGGGTACAATGCTATCTATTTTGGCTTAAGAGAACAGGGAAATTGCTTGCTCTAAGTCTTAGATTTCTGTTTGTCCCTGTTCCATCCCCCATCCTCTTGGTCCCTCTAGATGTATTAAAGGCTCACATGGAGCTTGTGGTCTTTTCTACCTAATCTCAAAGCTTTAACTCCTGCCCTCAAAACAGGGGCCCACTCTGCTCAATTATTTTATTGAATGATAAGCAAAGCAAACTTTCCAGTTTCCAACCTAAGAAGCAATGAAACTCTAAACTAGGAATTTATTGACATTCCCCAAACTGACATTATTCAGTGATCAAAATAAAATGCATACATAAAATCCTGGCCAATTTGCATACCCCATTCTTAAACACACACAAAATGCTAACTATTTTTAACCTATGACTATGACATGCATTTGTTTTTAATAACGTCTCAGTTTTATACAACCATACGTTCAAGGTCTTTATCATTCAAGGTACATGAAGGTTGTGCATTTAATCTTTAGCATGGTTGTAGAAGATATGATTCACAGAGTAGAGAACAGATAAAACTAAGCATATGCAGCAGCATGGCGCCAAATCATCAGAACTCACCATCTTATCAACAAATAGAAGTCATTCTTCTTTATTTCTTGAGCAAAGCAGTTTCATATAAGATAAATAGCTTTCAGTCAGAATAGCCTAACATGCAATATGCATCTTTTTGACATGTATATTCTAATACTACTTTAGACCGGTAAGATTAAAGGAAGAAAAATCTCAGGGTTGTATGTTGACAATAAACACTGGTCGAATCTACATTTTGTCCATTTTTCATCTCCCAGAATTTGGCTCAGTGTGGGTATGTTTGTACATTACTGGATATTATTAAATGATCAACCTCTAGTGACCTTCAAGTACTGTTTTCTGAAGTTTTATAAAGAGAAGTAATTCAGGGAATTTTTACTTCTTTAGGTCAAACATGGAAAGTCACATCATGATTTGGAGATACTGTCTTTTGTTTTCAGAGACCAGGGCGTAGCAGAATGTATTTCTAATAGACTTAGGAGACTGGGTTCTAGGTATGTGACCTTGAGAAGGCTATTTAACTACTCTAGTTTTAGTTTCCCCATCTTGTATAGGAAGAATTTGGGTCAGACGGTTTTTAAAATTACACCTAGCTCTAATATGATACCATCCATAAGTTATCATTCTTTTGTTAACATGGAAAGTAGATGGGTGATGAGGGAGGCCTTCCGTGGCCCATGCCTTTGGCACTGGACTGAGCTTCCCTCTGTGGGTCTCTGCTGAGCACACTTGTCCAGCTGAAAGCCCTGTTTCCCATGGCTCCCAGGCCCCTTCATTCACAAATCTTGTTTCAGTGAGTCCATAGTAGCCTTTCACCTTTCAGGGCGTCATGCTGTCGCAAAGTTTCCGTTTTCACTTAAATATTAACTTCCACTTTCTGAGATGGAAAACTGAACTGAAGCTCTTGGGAAAATTGACCAAGCAGTAGAAAACTTGAATTTTCAAATAGCCACTGTTCTATTCATATTTACCAGTTTGTATGTGTGGAAGAAAGAACTCGGATTTTTAGAGTAGACTGCCTTTGATTAAAACTCCAACTCTGCTACTAATCTAGCTGTTCGGCCTCTTTGAAATTCATCTCTGAATTATGTTCTCATCTATAAAATGGGCAAAATACCTACATGGATGTTATTGTAGACGAAAAGCAATTATTTACAAGTGCTCAAAAAATACCCTTCTTACTCCCTCTACTTCAGCATCAACTTATTTCAGAGTATTGACAATGACACTGAAAATGATCAATTACAAGAAATCTACAGAATCCATTTCTTAGCGTAATGTTGCTTAGTGAGGATCCATGTTCTGAAATGATGAGATGGGAAAGAAACTGCCTCATTTCCTTTGAAGGTATTGTTACACCAGTTTACACTGATCAGTTTTGTTTTGGCTTGTACTTTTGAGTAAATAGGCTATTTTCTTAAGTTTGACCTGTGTCTGCCTCTGTGACCCGATTCCTCTCTCTTCTGCATCCCCTAGCCTCCACAACTTCAAAGAATGCAAACAAACTCCTAGGCCAAAGGATGAAATCAATTCTGTGGGTGTCAAATTAGTGATGCATGTGAAAACTCTTTGAACAGGATGAGGATCTATGCAAACTCAAGACGGTAAGTAAGGATTAAGTAAGGTACAGTTTCTAAAAAAGTAATTTAATTCTCACTAGATAAAAGGCCAGTGTATAATACACATGTGCAGTTCGACTATGCCATTTTGTGAGACATATGGAAGAATAATTAATGATTATTATTAATATTACTTGTGAAAGAGAAGGTTGGATTAGATGATCTAAGTTCTTTTTCTCCTTTAAAATTAGACACCTTCCCCCCTTTTTTCTAACAAAATACTCCTTGCAGAGTTTGGCACTCCGTGAGCTCAGAGTTTTGGGAGCCTGGCCAGATTTAATAAGAAGAATGCTCAGATTGGGCAGTTGTAAAAACAAAAGCTATCCCATCTTTACAAATCCAGTTAGCATAGCCAGTATTCAAGGGAATCTACATGTGTTACTCCATCTTTAGTTTATACTTACAAATACGGAGAACCATCTCAGATAATAAAAGTAGTAAGTGCTGAATATTTTTGCAAGCTATTATAGCATTTTGAAAGAATACTGTAAACACTTACAAGATGTGACTCTATGGTAATGAAACGAATTTTCTTGTGTGGAGCGAAGGCTCATTAGCTCAGAGCCACGCTCTGTGCTGTTCTACAGAAGTTGCATATGACATTTCTCGCTAATGGCTCATGCTGTCACTAAATATTTGTTTCTAACTCCCTCAGTTTTGGGGAATGTGGACATCCACTTGTGTGTAAATTAATAGCTCTGCAGAATTTAAATGAGGTACCCAGAAAAGCCCTTTTGTTTCCTGAATCCAGTAAGGAAAAAAGGCCCTCTTTCTAATGATATATTTGATCAAAGTTGTTGTCTCCAAATGTTTAAGAAAATACTTATTATATTGGAAAGAATGCTTTACATGATTCTCAGTAAATAAAACTGGGGCTTTGTTTTTAATGATCTTACTGTTTACATTAAACGGTGATTCTCAGCTAGGGAGAAAAGTAGGTGTGCATACTCACTTTCTTCATCAAGAAGATTTTCAGCAGCTGATAGTAACCTCATCCTATCTTCTGGATTTTTAATGTTTAATTCAATGAGATGACTCTCTTTTATATCCTTTAAGTCTTCTAGGGTCTCGTAACCATTGAGCAAAAGTGTTGAGGTGTATTCCTGTGGGGAAGAAAAAATATGTATAATATAAGCTAGTCAGATTCAAATATTTTATTTTTAGTTCTCTTTAGATTAAAAAATAAAAAGTGTAGGAATGCATGGAAACCAACGGTGGCAACAGAACTTTTGCTTAACTTTATTTTATTTGTACTAGTTTTCCACATATGCACTTGGGGGCATTTAAACAGTATGTTGTACAGTTCTCACCTTCTGGAAGGACAAATGTAAAGAAGAAATGACTACCTTAAGCTATACAATGCTAAATCATGGATCAATTAAATAGCTGGATCATTCATCCCATCTGGCAGTTTTTCACTTCTCAAATAGTGAAATTGACAAAGCTATTATGTTATTAAGTCTATCAATAAAATGCCTCTAATACAGTATATTATAATAATATTTCTGGATCTATATCTTTTCTTGTTTGCTTGGTTGCAAAATCATCTACCCTCATTAACTTCTTGGAGTAGGTTAAAAAATGAATTTGAAATAGACCCAATTTATATAAAAAAGTATACTTAGCATTTTGGTTGAAAGGCATTATAGAAACCTAAGGAATCTCAGACTTTCTATTTATTTAAAAGCTTTTATTAAGCATGAAAGCACTGTGGTTGGGAAAAGTATTGTTTCCGTTTCTTATCATGTATACTTTGTCCATCATTTGCATCAATATAAATTAGTTTAAAATTCATAGGCTTCTGATTTCAAAGGCTGTTATGTTATTTATGTAACTTCTCTCTAACAATAGAAATGCAAAGTGAATTTGAATGCTTTTCAACTTTCTCAGATATTCCCCCCATTTTACTTGATCATAATTTCAATATCCTTATTTTAGTTACTAAAATTGAGTAAGAGGTATAAAAGTTTTAAGTAATCAGAAAGAACTTATTACTAGCCCTTTATTTATTTTTAAAGAAGGGAAAGAAGGAGTAGCAATTCAACTCTTTTAAAAGTGATGTATCCTAGAAGGAGCACTGTGTTAGAACAGAAAAAAAAAAAAAAAAAAATTCCCATCCTGATGTAACTAACTGTGGATTCTTGAGTAAGGTATTTCACTTCCTTAGACCTTGGTTTTTTCATAGGTCACAGAACAAACAAGTAGCTGAAGCAGGATTCAGACTTGGGCTTCCTCCAAGGAGTACCCCATTTGGGGGACACCAATAGTAATATTGAAAGGCCTATGTAATGTGTCTACAGACAAGAATGCAACTAGATAATTCAGGAAAACCAGTTAAGGAAAGATTAATTGGCTATTGTCTTGATGAATTTTGAAAACTATCAAAGTACTGCTGTGTTAATTTTAGAAATGGATTGCGAAACAGTAAATTGAGTGAGGCTAGGCATATTGTATGTACATGCCATTTAACAACATAGATATTTCATAAAAAGTTTTCTAATGTAACAAGAAAATAATTGGATTTTAAATATAGACAACACAGTTTTCTTAACACAATCATTATGAGGGCTTAATGATCACTGTTTCCTAACAAATTACTTTAAAAACAATTAATTTAGTTATCTTCTCTTGACTTGCTTTTGATCTCTGCTCTATAGAAAATACAATTTTCTTTTCATTTCTCCTTTCAAGTCTCTGAATCTTTACCTTCACTCTTTATATTCTCTTTATCATTCTCATTACATGTTTTCTCTGGGACTTTTATTCTCCCAAGTGTATTTCATTTTTCACTGCACTTTCTCAACCTAATCTCTACTGCAACTGCTAAGTACCATTAGAGTTTAGTCCAAAGGATGTTATATCAAGACCTGTCCTCACATAATAAAAGTAATAAAGGGTATATATAAACTGTTTTTGAAAAACAGATTTTCCCTTTCTGTAAGTCATGTATTTTTTTAACTAAACAAGCACTGACCCATTCTCAATTACTCCATCCGTATGCCACCAAAATCAAACAGGCCATAGGTTTGCTAACCTGAAGGTGAATCCTCTCTAAGAACTCCTGCAGAGTCTTAGGTTTTTCCTTTCCACTCCTTCTGTGTGCCTTTATTTTCTTGGGGGCTGCTTCTTCTTCTGAGATGACATCCACATAAATAAATTTGAAGTTTCCCACCTTATTGTTCAACATTCCTGTCCACATCCCCATTGGCATTTTGCAGATAATGTCTATGATATCTCCTTTCTAAAGACAAAGAAATATACAAATTAGATTTCAGAGAACTCTGGTGTCCATGACAATTGGTAGAAAGAATGGAATCATTGAAAATTAGAATAATGAGGGCATTACATTAAGGAGGTTTAGAGTTAAAAATAAATCTGAGAGGAAATTTCTTTTAAAAGTTTAAGGAAACTATTTACTAGTAATATTGAAAAAAACCCCAACATACTTGAAGAAAGGCTCCTAAATGTATTTGATGATGTGTTTATGTTTTTGGTATCATGTCAACTTATCAACTTCTATTTATAGAGTATCCTATAGTTTACAAAACACTTTTGCATTCATTAAGTTATTTTATGCCCACACACGCCTCTTAGATATATATGCGAGGTGTCATTATTACTCTAAATATTACAGAAAAAGAAATGCAAGCATTAAATAATTTCCCAAGAGCTTACAGGAAGTTAGTGACAGAACCAGAACTCAAGCCTAAGTTGTTTGAACTCAAAAATAATGCTCTTTTTATTTACCCTGTCAAAACAATATATATGTAGCAAAGCTCAAGCTATCATTCCTGGAGGGGGTCCCAAGTAAGGAAGGGGAAGAAAGACAAGTCTATGACTCTGTCTGTGCTTCTAGTTCATCTGAAAAATTCATCTACAGTGTGAAATAAATCCACCTCAAGTATTGTATCCATCTAAAATAATGAAAATGTTCAGGACTTTGTACATAGCAAATATGTAACAAAAGTATATATGCACTAAGGATAAATTAAGCTAATTATCCTAGATTAATTAATAATTAATTACTAATCACTTAGTTAACACTTAGATTGAGCTCCACAGCAAAGTTTGGATTGAAGTATGAATGAAATGCATTGGGATAGACAAGCCAGTTGGTCTTTCTCTTTATTCACATCTAAGAGTAAGACTGCAGGAGTTATTGGCAAGAGTAGAAAACTCCACGGGGTATTTTTTTGTAAAGAAAGTTGATTTCTATGCAAATATAGTGTCTACATTTATGTCATAGTTACTCCGTTGAGACTTACAGCTTTCTACCTCAGAGATGACATTATAGATTCTGATATTTTTGCCATTTTAAGGGTCTACCCTCAAACAAAGCATTAAGTCTGCTACTAAAAATATTTTTTTCTGCTGCTCTGTGAATGTGTATTCTTCCATCTAAAACATGGATTTTATTTGTAATAGTAGCATTCAATGTGATTAAAAGATCTGGTCTTTCTGATTTATGATAGTTTGCCCTTCAGACCCTATGAGCTGTTCACCTAGTTTTTCCTGTCTTTAACTATAGGGAATCAAATCCTAGGCTAGATGGGTTCAGCTAAGCAGACCTAGAAAATCCCCAGAAGCTCTAGGGGAAGTTTCAAAGTATGGCAGTCCTATGCTACATCCTTCTTATTATCCTTTAAACTTGTAAAAAATATACATTACAGGGAAGCCCACAGATCACAAACAAAAATCCAATTTCATTTCGGATAAGATCCAGGATGGTCAGCAACAGTATTCAACACCCAGTGTGTCTGTGGGATTCCTTATTGTGTCCTACTCGAGCTCCACAAATGTCCCCTTAGGCAGCACAAACGGTGGTGCAACCTTTGTGTTGTGAAGCCCTCACAGCAAAAGAAAATGAACAAAGAGGATAAGAATAAAAAAAGGGAATTCAGGAGGGAATATCACAGAGAGAAAGTTGTCAGGTTATTCATGGCATTTGCAAGTATTGACTCAAGTATTGAAGTTGCCTGGCCAAGTCAGGTTCCCAAAGCGTTTGCTCTGCTGGGCTCTTGCCTGATATTTCCATTTTCTCTCCCTCTCCTTGGCTTCAGGTAGAACTGGGCACCTCCAACAACTTGTGAGGATTTGGCTTTTCAGAAAAATGTATACAATTCCTTCTTCCCGAATAAGCTCTGATTCTACATTATCTACATAATGCAACTTTTGCAAATAGCCTCAAAACACTGATCCCCCTACCCTACCTCTCATGCTTTGTTTGAACTCCTGCTGTAGTACACCAATCCCCAGTTCTCCTATTGGGAAGAACGCGCTCACCCCCTAGTTCCCCATACTTGCACTTCCTGAAAAAGATCATACACCCAGCCCTAGACAAACCATACAGAATGCGGATATGATGTGCACACACCTTGATTTTGAGGGAGTCAGTGTCATAAGGGCTCGGTGTGAAACTGGTATGTACACGGGCACGGCCACAGAATGGTCCGGAGTAGGGGCCATCATCATCGAGTCGAAAGCTGTCCCGGTTACTTGAACAGCTTGTTATTCCACCTGATAAAGGCAAAGCAGAGGTTAACAGTTCTCACTGAAGGTTCATAACATTCTGAACCATCACCTGGACATAACTAAGCAGGAATAATGCTGAAGCATTGGATGCCAGCCTCCTGAGGCGGTCCTAAGTGACCGATCCCTGTTTCTGCCTCCCAGTCATTTTCCACCAGTGACTTCTGTCCTCTGAGCCATTTCTGATCTTTCTCCAGTCAACCTGATCATTCTTTCCTCTACCACCAAACCAAACATTCTTACTTCAGTCTCTATCATCTGATCCAGTAACACAGTGCTTTGAGCACTGGATACTTGCTAAAGAGGCAGACAGTAGAGACTTAATTCCCTATACAAACCAGATAATTAATTTTGTACGTGTAAACAAAGGCAGAAACCTATAGCGACAGTTTGATCTTTGTGTGCTATTGATCAGGAATGATCAAAGCATAAGACCACAAGCTTCCCTACAACTTACCACAATGTAGCAAAAATAGTGTCTCAGACTTCCTACTGTGTACCAAAAGCCATTTTGAGGCAACATCTCTGTGTATAAAAGGTAGCATTTTTGCTTGTTGTGTGAGCGTCAGGGAAAGAGGAAGTGTGTTCCAA